TCCTTCCATGGCAACTTGTGGTCTTTCTAGACGTGTAATGCCATAATGATATTTATTGTCTTGGCACCCTCTAAAAAAAAAGCAATTTACTTTGCATCTTGACTTCTCCTCGATTGGCTATGCAGATGTTTGTGGTACAGCTAAGCATTAGACATGCCTCACTTTAGCATGGTTCCAAGGCTGGATGGTTAACTAATGTCATTTGCTATTGATGGGCTAATGGATGTTATAATTGCAGGACAAGATTTTCTCTGGTTTCTGAAGAAGCACGAACATTAGAGTTTTCTGCTTACAGGTTCTCATCAGCTGTTGTCAGACTAGGGTCATCCCTGGAATTTTGGGCACTTCTAGATATGCCTTGCAGTCATTTATGCCTCCAAATGCCACACATTATTTCATAGTTGGGAAACCTGACTCTATATTCCTGAATTGCTAAGTTTGATAAAAACGATATTGTAAAAAGGGTTAATAATTAAACTGAGTTGAACAAGCATTTTCAATACTGATTTTAACCATACAAACCTGCTGTAAGATTGGAAGTTCAACTAGTAGTGTAGGATTGAATGTTGTAACTGAACAGTTACAAACAAAATTTACTTTAAGAGAAGTTTTAAGAAAGCAGATTGTAAATCGATATCTATAGTTAAGCATGTGGTTACAAGCCCCTTTGCTTAATGTGTAAAGTTTTCAAAATTTATATTTTTCTTTTAATTCCATCTGAAAACAGAAGGTTACGCAAGTAAACACATAACTTCTGGTCCTACCTCTTCTCATGGCGAAATTAGCTAATTGGTAATTAACTACATTTTCTTGCAGGAAAAATAGCTTGTGGTGTCCCAGAGTAAAATATTGTTTTTTCTTTCAGTAAATCGGGTAATGGCCCAGAGATGCCTACTCTTGCAGTTGAGTATAAGTGGATGAAAGTCGTGTGATTGATGAATGATGTGTGCAACCTGGTTTAGTGTGATGTTATTGTATTTTGTTTGTTAAAAGTAAGGTTCTCTTCTTCTATGCATATTTTTTATAAGGTTTAGATTTTGTTGAATTTATTTTTAACTATTAGTAACTTTGTAGCTTTGTTTCAGTTTACCACTGTACTGGTGAGAGAGAGCTTATTAAGATTTTACTTCATCTCTCTCTCTCTCTCTCTTGCCAGTCCACCCCATTTATTCCAGACACATTTGCCCTTAGTTTGTTTTAGAACAGTTTCTGAACCTTTTTTGTCGCAGCACCCCTTCAGCAAACAATGAGTGCTCATGCACCTTTCTAATAAATTTTAGACCATTAAAATATTTTACTAAAATGAAAATTGTAAAGCAATAATAGTCAATTCTTATGGTTTAATTTTAACAGACATAACTTTGAAACCCTCGAAAATTTTCTATCTACCCCTCTGCTGACCTCTCAGAGTTTACTGCCTCTGAATTTTAAAAACACCTGTCTGTTTTTTATTAAAGATTGATGTTGCACATTTCTGTATCTTTAATCTTTCGTTAAGACAAACTCACTTGTAGTTCACTGAGTAATGAATCCTTACTCTGTTACTTGATATTTGTCGGACCTCCAGTTAATGTACCTTACTCTTTGTCTGTGGTAAAATTGTGCATTGGAAGATACCACAAATGCTATCCTTGCAGACATATTTATATGTCATTGCCTGAGGGAATGTCTCTAAATCAATTGACCAATGTACTACCATACTCCTATCTTGGCTGTTGCTTACTGACAACACCCATAAGCTATCATTGTGTAGTTATCCAAAACAGAGCCCAATGAAGAGGGAAGGAGTAAAACTGCTAAAATAGTATGCTACATGAGTAACTGAAATCAGGCTAGCCATTTTATAAATGTTTGCCACCATCTCTTGAACGAAAGAATCCACATAATTATCACATCTCCATATAAGTTAGTTTCGGATACGAGCATAGTACAACGTGAAGAAACTAAAAGCAACACCACACAGATTTTACTAGCATGCCTCAAACCATACAATCACAGTGTTTAAACTGCTACTTATGGAAAATAAATATAAGTTAAAAAACTATTTACTGAAACTACATGAATATGAAATATTCAAATTCTAAAGTTTAACATATTGCATCAAAATCAAAGGAAAAATAGATGCACCATGCTTTCTTGTGGTATGCACATAAGTGTTATCAACAGTTTCATTTTCCATAGGTAATCTCAATTGCTTATAAATATTTCAATTCTGGCAAATTGAACATATCCTTCAGTGACCAAGTAAGTGAGGTATACTTGATCCTCTCTTTAATGTTACTTTTATTAATAATATTACCTAGAATGTTTACTATGCTTAATTTTATTGTTTTTAATTTCTAATTATTAGATTAGTATATAGATTTAGGACTAACCTAAGTTGGCCGAACCTTGTGAGATATTAGTTCTGACGAAAGTATTGATAACAGCAAGAATACCAAACCTATGAAACAATGCATTCTAATCTTTATAAAAAAATAACATAAGAAAACTATTTTAAATTTGTTTCATGTATTACTCACTAATAGGTTAATTTTTAGTTTGATCTAAGTGCTATGATTGGAAGTTAATACGAATTATTGAAAACATTGGGTAAAAACATGTTTCTCTTGTTGTAATTTTAGCTGACCAGCTACTACAGTCTTGACCAAAATATTTGAATATTTTGTAACAAATAAGATCATTATTATTAAGATGGAATACAAATATACTTAGCACTGTCAAACTGAGAGATTCATGTTATATTAAACATCTACATATGTAATTTGTATAATGAGACAGGTTCTGTGGACATCAAACTGAGAGATTCATGTTATATTAAACATCTACATATGTAATTTGTATAATGAGACAGGTTCTATGGACATCAGGAACGATTTATTAGAACAGCAAACAATTTCATCTGAAACCTGTAGAAAAATGTGTAATTCACCATGTCACCTAACACAACAAAACCTTACCCAAACATATATAATAACAAAATATAACACAAAATTGTTATAAATAGCGTCTGTAACCTTATATCAGTTTATATTAAACATTCAATACTTGATTGGTCTTCCTCGTACTCTAATAACCTCCACAAGGCAACTTAGCATGCTGTTGATGAGGTTATTGATGTAATCCACCGTGATTTCATCCCAACTTGCCACAAAAAGTGCTGCAGCCCAGCTTCAGTAACTGGTTTAAGGTTGTAGTTAGCAATTTTCCAGCTCAGTTCTGCACAACAGTTCTCAATGGGATTACAATCTAGAGGCTTTGCTGGCAATGGCAATCTTGTAACGTCCTCTTGGTCGAGATAATCCTGTACAATATGCACACTGTGGGCAGTGGAATTGTCATCCTGGAACACAAAGTTATTGCCAAACCTTGCTCTAGTATGTGGCAGAAATATCGTCTCCATATGATGTCTGTAGGAGGTGCTATTGATGTTTTCCTGGAGGATATGAAAAGCAATTTTCCACCATGATGAATAGCTGCCCAAACATATACTACACCACTTCCTGTGTGTTCCCTGTGGGAAAGACAACCTTCCCTCATCTGTTCTTCAGGCAAATGACAAATCTTACCATCAGCTTTGACAAGCATGAAACAGGACTCATCTGTAAGATGACATATAACCAGTGTCCTAAGTATAAGTTGGCTTGCTGTCTTGCCCAAGTAATATGGCGACAGCAGTAAATTCTGGTTGATATTGGTTTCTAGATAGCCCTTCTTGCAAAATGACCTTGATTTCTCAGTCTGATTTTCACTGTACTTCTGGATAACCTGGAATGAATGTGTTCATGTCATAAGGTGTTGCAAGACTTCTTCCAACCTTGACGTGTTAACCTGATCAAAACACGATCATTTCGGGCAGTAGGTTTTCGGTGCCTACCAGTAGACTTTCCTGGAACAATGTTTCCTGTAGCCTGATGACGTTTCAGGATTGTGGATACAGTGCACTGGGGTTACCCAACTGTTCTGGCAATGTCCTTTGTTTCATACCATTTCTGGATAGTCGAACAATTTGATGCCCTATAACTTCTGGCACGTAACGGGATATGACTCTACGCCAAGTACATAGAAATTGTCTGAACAAAGCATTGATTTGTTTTGAAAAATATTTACCAAAAGCACACCTTTTTATACAAAAAGGGATGTATATATGTTTAAACGAACAAATGCTCAAACAACTTATACAGACCAGAATAACAACTCCTACATATTTGTCTGATCATATGCTACCATCTCTGTTAATACTCGGGCATTTACACACTAAATACTCCATGCATTTAGACAATAGCATCAATATAGAACAGTGTGCAAATATTTTGACCAAGACTATTGTTTTACGAGGGAGAAATCAACGAGCTCACGATTATTTAGGTTTCAATACTGTGCATATTCTTTTACCAACACCAACAAAAATGTTAGATGCTACATATCTTTCAACATTCTGTTCAAATCATTCCTTTATTGCCTGATGCTTGTGCTTCTTTGCACATAATAAAACATACATGAACAAATTCATATAAGATGCCATAATACTTGTATAAAACTCTGCACACGCATATAATAACATATTAACATGACATATTACAAACATGCATGTAACACCTGACAGACTATTTGCCTTTAAAGTAACCACAGCAATTTAAGTTACTGCTCCTGTCAACTATGTACTGACAGCCACACTATCTTTTATCACACCTCTATCTTATGAGGCAATGAATACAACTTACTCTTGGCATTATGGAATATATAATCGAGACAGAATTCAGTCAAACAAAACTTTTCACCCAGTCTGAATCAATATTCACACTATCCACTCAATGGATTAAATTGAAACAGAATAGGCTGTAACATAATTCTGCTTCCCTTCTAATCAGACCATTAGCAGCAATGACCCTATGATTGGAAGAATAAAGTACCAGTGACAATTAGTAAGAAATCACAGCAACATTATAATGCTATGCGTTGTTATAGGATTTTATTATCATATACAAAAGTATACAAATTGCAGAAATTTAGGGGATTTCATTAATACCTCTGTCTAAGGTTGTTTCTACTGCAAAGTGAATGACAAAAGGGGAGTCCCCCTTCTTCATAATCCCACTTTAACCACTGAGTCCACTACAATATACATAAATAGCAAAATAATCGATACAAGTTGAGTACAGTATTCAACAATAAAATACAATGAAACAACTACAAAAATCAGCACCTGAACTATCGTCATATCTTTTGGTTGACCAACTTAATACAAGCATCACAGGCAAAATCTGACGAAACATGAACTTTTATGGTGGAGTCCTGAGAACCATTGAATCAAAACCTTTATATATGACGAGAACCATATACGTATAGCATCTCTGTATACATGAGCGTCAACAGAATTTATTACAGGTGGGGGCAAGCCATCGCAGAGCGCAGGTCATTTGCCTTGAAATTTGAACGCGATGATCTTCTGATTTTGGCTTATTTGTGGAAACCTAATTTCCTCATTTATATTTAAATAGCATTATTTTATAATACATTTTAAAATAAATTATTCAAATAAATGTTCTTCTTAAATTCCAGGGGTGGGGGCAAGTGCCCCTGCCCGATCCTGTGGACGCTCATATCTAACTAAACTTAGAATACACGAAAATTTTGGAAAATTCCACATTAAAATAAGAAGGTAGAAAAGGCATGATGTGCCCGCATTCCACATACATATACCTCAATAACGGAAAATTTCTGAAACATTCTATATTAAAATAAGAAGGTAGAAAACGTATGTTTGCCTGCATACTATGTCAGATCTTTCATTGGCGTCTATTTTACAGAGGAGGTAATCAGTTTCATTCTCACTCTCAGTTGTTTTATTACTTTCGCCCCACAGTGGCTTATTGGTAAATCTAAAGGCTTATAACGCCCAAAACCGGATTTCGATACCTGAGGTGGGCTCAGCACGGATAACCCATTGCGTAGCTTTGTGCTTAACTACAAACAAATAAACATATCATTACTTTTAATGGCTCGTCATCGAATTTGAATATCGTTACTTTGTACCATTCAAGTCTAAGCATTTCTTTTGCAACATTAATCCATTTTCTTATAACTCAACCCTTTCCTTGACGTAGGCAGCCTTCTAAGAAATAGCTGTCGTCATCCGCTAGGGTGGTGAGACTTGTCATATACCCTAGCGTTCGTGTTTCAATAAATTTCTTACAACGCTGATTTTTTTTCTAATTCGATTGTAAAAAAAGATAATAAGTAAGGCTGTAAATATTGTAATGTCAGTTATAAATGAAAATCCTAAATATACCTCTGCTGGGTTGATCCGTCAAAATCTTTCGAGAAAAACTGGGTCAACTGAAAATATAACAACAGGGACATCTATAAGTAAGTAAAATACGTTATCAATCCTCAAATTAATAATGTTAGGCTTATTCCTTGACCGATTCGTGGTATTTTGGCCTACTTTAAGTTCAGTAACGCTAAGAGTAAATGCTAAAACAAATCACGGAAGTTTGTGTCCTAAAACTTAAAAAGTATTAGGTTTTATACTTTATAGCTTAGGAAATTTATCCGTACGTTTAAATTATTTTAAGGTCACAAATAATGTTATAGATAATTAAATGAAACTTTAATAATATTAATAGAATTTTGAGTCATAAGCTAAATTATATATTTCTAGATTTTAACTATATTTTAGTCTAAAATACTTAAAATTAAGTTAAGTTGTGCAGTTAACGTTAACTGTTTGTTACTACTACTGAGTACTTAGTAGTAGTAGTAGTAATACTACTACTAATAGTAATATACTATTACTAGTGCTACAGTAGTACATCGAACATGAAGTTAGAACTAATTTTAAGTAAATTTAATGCATTAACGAATGTGTTACTATATAGAAAATTGTACTATTAATAATAATAAGTAATATTATTTATGTTTAAACTGTTTCTACAGTAACATGCTATAAATCCATATTGTGATTTTCTTATACAAAAAAAAATACTAATATTGCATACAGAATTACAAATTGAGGCCCTTCACCAGGATCTTAAGCATCAAGTTATAGTGTGATACATCAGGTACACTGATTTACCTTAGGGATAAGAATGGCAACTGCAATAACTTGAGGAATGTCAAGACAATGTATTACAGAGTTAAAAATGACTTTCCTACCTGACTGAATTGAAGTAAGAGACAAGACTTTAATTGCCAGTGAAAAACAAGTAATTATTTATTGAGAAAAAGATAAGTTCAAAACATCGGAACAGCACTTCTTTTTAGTGTATAGGTAGATATCTGAATGATATCTATGTAAATATGGGGAGAATTAAACATTGTATAGGAACCAATTAAATCACCTCTGTCAGAGCACATGTTGCTGTTAGTAATTTCATATGTAAAAAAAGGAGGTTATTACCATTGAGTATTACAGGACTTCAATGGTTAAAGTCACTGCATAGATCTACTTAGTATTTTAACTACTCATTCAGATAGCAGTCTTTCCCATTATAGAGTACATGTCACACCGAGGGGAGAATGAACTTTTTCATTCATAGCACTTGAGGGTAAGCAAAATATTTGGATGAGAATAGGGCCTTTGAGGGATGATATGGGAAGGTTTATATTTGACGATTATTAGATGGTTGGGTTATTAAATTGTACTTTTTCTTCAATTTTTACTAATGAAGATCTAAGAATATTCTTCATCCCAAACAGTTGATCGATGGAAACAAGATTGCAAATGATGATCACATTAATTCTAAGCTTGTTAAGAAAAAATTGGGAAGTCTTAGAGAATAATAAGTCTCCTAGGATAGATAATATTTCCCCAAGGGTTTTGAAGGAAAATAAAGATTGGATATGTGAGCTACTTTTATTATTTTTCTAAAAACCTTGATTAGTGGGCAAATGCCAGATGTTTGGAAGTTGGCTAACGTTACTCCTATTTTCAAGGGAGGTGATAAAAATTGTCCCAGTCATTATAGACCTTTTAGCCTTATATCAGTGGTGGGAAAAGTTTTTGAAAGTCTAATAAAAGATATATTGCAATGTCATATAACAAAGTTTAAAATATTTCTAGATAGTCAGCATGGTTACACTAGGAGGAACATCTTGCGTTACCAATCTTTTGACATTTTTTTTGTATGTGGATTTTTAGGAACCATTTGACAAGATGCCATGTAAAAAGGCTTGTTAAGAAAATTATTTCTGTAGGTGTGGAGGATAAGTTATCTCAATGGATAGAAAACTGGCTTGAAGGAAGAAATCAAAAGGTTGCTATCAGTGGAGTTCAGTCAAACTGGATTAATGTCATAAGTGGGGTACCTAAGAACTCAGTGTTTTTTGCTCCTTTTGATTTACATCAATAACATAATGAATGAACAGTCAATAAATTATTGGAATTTTCTGATGATATTAAGGTTTTTGGTGTGACTGGCTATGATGTTGCTTAGGGTGACTCTTATTTTCAGACTTGTGAGTTTTTAGTGGGGAACATCTGGGAATTGTGAGGATTAGTAAAAAGCTAATCTGGACAAATTTTTAGTAAAATACTTTCAAAATTAGAGGTTGCTACCAAGATTTCATGTTTTACAATGCAGTATGATCCTGGAAGATTGAAGACAAGATCTGAGCCATGTGCTTTGATACCACTGCTTCGAACATTGGTAATAGCATGAGGCCTGTATTTTCTGGAGAAAAGCTTGTTCTACTTTGCCTGCAGCCATCACATTTTTGAGCTGATTTTAGAGACATTTTTTTCAACTTGAATGGGGACATCAGCTGGGCAACATCTTGCTTTCGAGAGAAGTGGGAATTTCTAGACAAGGAAAGGTTACAAGCTGCAATGGATGAGGCCAGGTTTAAAAATATTTCTCTTTGCTGTAATTCGACTGATCGTCTGAAATTTGGGCCGACTGAGAGATTGTGTTGACATTATGACCTGGGAAATTTTTATTTTCACCAATTTTTGCCTATATACCAACCCATCTAATAAAATTTGGCAACTTTAAATGTTTTATCACTGCATTATGGTTTGAATATTTTTTCTTGGAAATTCATCTAGTTCTCGACGATGTGGTAGGGCATCTCCTGGTTACCAATCAACAGCTCAGTGCTGATTGACCAATGCACTGAGGTTTGACAGCATGGTTTATCTTGTCCCCAGGATCCTTCATGCTAAACTAATTAATGCAGGGGAGAATTTACTATTGATGAGGATGCATCAACAACATGGCGAACAGAAGTCTGTTCAGTGTATCTGTCTCTGAAAAACTGTTCTTGCAGATTGAAGATTAAGATCAAAGACAAATTAATTTCGATTGGAAACTTATCCATGTGGAGGGCCACATGGGTAAGTTTAAGTACTTGTAGATTTACATGCCAAATGAGATGAAATGGAAGAATAAACCATAAATTTGTCAACAACAGTCAATTTAACTTTGTCGATTGAAGTCAATGTTGATCATCAAGTACGTGTTGTGAAAGAATTTGAAATTTCTGTAATTCTCTTCATAGAATAAATGTTGATAGTAATTGTAATCATGTTTTTTTTTAGTTATGATTTAGATGGTAACGTAACTAGTGGTACTTCAGCAATTTTTCTGCCAACCAATTAAAAAATTTACCTACCTACCCACATTTCAAATCAATTTAGGGTTACAGCAAACAATAATATTTTTTAAGCCTGGCCTAATGGCACTACAGCTTTTGCTGTCTCGGACTTCCATGATGAAATTCTTGCATTTATTGAAGAAATCGCCCAGACTCGGAGATGACTATAGAGAATTCTTGGAGTGGGTAACGATCTTTCTTGGAGGGATCCTGCTTTGAGGAGTTTGGTTGATGGCTTCAGGAGTGATGCATTGTACCAGTTGGATGGTAAAACTATCTATGCCCTCAAAGTATTTATGCTTAAAGACCAGTTTAACCTGACGGTTAGAGAGAAGATGGTGACACAAAGAATTTACATATTTGTGTCCACAACTTGGATATGGGCCACGGAGACCAATCAACATATGGTCTAAGCTCCTGAGAACCACAGGAATGATAACCAGCAGTATAGAGCAATGGTCAAAGAAAAGGACATGGAGACAAAGTCTGAAGCCCTGGAGAACTTTGTCGCAGTCAACAGCCTCTAGGTTGTCAAAATCATGCACATCAGATTGGACTCCTTCCCTTCCATGGATCCAGGCCACTGGGAACAAGATGAAGAGTTCTTAAGGGCAAAGAAAGCAGTTCTGGATTGTGAATGATGCTGCTGAACATGACGTAGCCTTCATAGAAGAATACAGATGGCTTCATCCCACAAATGAGGACCCGAAACAGTACCTTTTTTTTATGCTCAAGGAGCACAGGAAGAAATTCCCTGATGCATAGAAGAGCATTATCATGAAAGCTGTAGAAGTTAGCGTTGTTTAATTCTGTAGCATGGGAGCATGCTTGTAGTTTTGAGCAATCCATTTTTCTATGTTTCTATAGTAAATTAGTTTTTCTTCCTTTTACTTGAATGTTTTTGTTTGTGTGGGTAGCTCATTGTATGTCTGGTACACAATGTACAGCATAGCATCACAGGGGAAGAATCTTCAAGGGCTGGTAATGACTCCTTAACCCTTTTCACATGGATCAAAGGCCATGTCATCACATTTGTCAAATAAAATTTTTTAGGTTTCATACATACATTTGAAATAACCAAAAAAATCAAAAATTACTATATCAATATCATAAGAATTCCAATATAATTTAACAAGCTAAGTAATTAAACTGTATTTAGGTCTAAAAAAAATATGAAATTTTGAGCAGACTAAAGACTCACCTTACCAGCTTGAAGATTTATATCAAAAAAAGATGTGATGTCATAATACTTGGAAATGGCTGAGAAAGCCACTAGGGGGACATTCTGAGTTTTCAGTTCATTATTCACATCACAGACAGAAGTAAGTGTATATAAGGGAGTGTTTCCAAAAATGAAAATAATTGAGCATGGACTGTGTGTTTGATTCAGTACACGAGTGAAATCTAATCAAATAGAAAAGCTAGGAGGTTCTTATTTTATCTTCTAGCTTGTTAATATCGGTAATTTAAGTTCCTAATTCGTACAAAACTATAGACTTTGTATTTTGACATGTGACACAAAAATCGATGTTTAAGTGTTTTTTTAATATTTACTTTTAAATATCGAAATTAAATAATGTATAATACTAAAATTTGCATTACAATCTACATTTTGATACCAAACTTATTGATATAAATTCATAAAATAGTAATTCAATATAATTTTGAATGTGAGGCCATCCTCCACATGTAAAATTTTATAATTTTAATTGTAATAAATGCAAGATATTGCATGTGGAATA